TGCCTAGGATTTTAGAACTGATTTTAGCTATATTTGGGTCACTGAATCCAAATATAAAATCAGTTTTTCTCTATCAGCTCTACTTTTTTAGATCTGTGTTTTTTTAACGTACAGTGCTACATGAAATGTGCAGCTCAATTCCAGTTTGTACAGTTCTAAATCATATATGCAAGAGTTGATTCCTGTATATTTTCCCCATTGTTAGTCTGCCATTCTGCCATCCAGTTAGTTCCAGGTAAATCCACCAAATGAAGTAAGCATTCGGTAATGAATTGACGTTCAATGCTTCAACTAGAGTTGAGGTAAGTTTGTAGCCGTGCAGTGTCTAGATCAGTGTTTCCCAACCTTTTTTGTGCTATGCCCCACCTAAGCCTTTCTAAAATTCTTATGCCTCAGTTAAGTATAGAAAAAATTAAAGCAGGAATATTTGACGGCCCACAAATAAGACAACTCATTAACGATCTTGCCTTTGTCAATTCGATGAATGAAGCTGAGCAAAAAGCCAGCACTTCATTTGTTGCAGTTGTCAGAAATTTTCTAGGCAAACACAAAGCTGAAAATTATGTTGAACTGGTAAATGAGATGCTTAACAGTTTCAAATTCCTTGGGTGTAATATGAGTATTAAGGTGCACTATTTACACAGTCACTTAGACCGTTTTCCTGAAAATTTAGGAGACACCAGTGAAGAACAAGGTGAAAGATTTCACCAGGATATTAAAACTATGGAGGACCACTACCAAGGAAGATGGGATACGCATATGATGGCAGATTACTGCTGGAGTTTTTAAAAAGGGATTGCTCCAAAATACATTCACGAAAGTCACGGAAATGAAGCTTCCTCAATGTGTAACTGTTTAGTTTTATTGATGACTTTTTCCTCTATCTTCGTATAGAATAATATTTGCATAATATAATAATAAAAATTCCGTGTTTAGTTTTTTACTTGATCCATGGATTTAACTTAAGATATTGAAATGTATATTTCGCTAAAATGCTATATCTTAAAAATTAGAGCTCCTAGGCAAAAACTAATGCCATATTTGAATTCAGGACATCAAATTCATATGAAATCAGCTCAAAATACCTGGGCACCAAAACCACTGTTGACCTGTGTAATTTGAGGTGGAGAGCATTGTGATGATGTCACAATAATTAATTTCTCGTTTTTATTTATTGTTTTTTCTCCTTTTGAACATTTTTGACTGCTCATTTTGCTACTTGATACAGTCACCTCATCATCTCACCCACTGAGATGGAATTGATCTTAAGCTGAATATTATAAGTGAATAGCATTAACATCATCATTTGGAACTGTATAATCTAAATTACAAGTATTTAATGTTTTTTGTTATTCATAATATTTTTCTTATAAGACATACTGTTTTTTATTTGTTATATATTTCAAACTACTGTAAAAGATAAAAATTTCTATAAAATTTTCATTAAATATCATATCATATCTTCAATATTATTATAAAATTTTATATTTAAATTTTAAAAAAATAAAAATAAATAAAGATATCAAAATCCAAGAAATTATTTTAAAAATGAAAATTTTAAACATTTTTTGCTTTGATTAAAAATAAGAAATGCTATCTTTTTGAAAAATCAATGGTACTAATAAACAAAAGATTCAATCTTTCATTAAAAGAATAGATGAAAATCACTTTAAGTGATTTTATTAAATACACATTGAAGAATTAAATACAAGATGCTATCATCATGTCTCAATGACGCAAACAATTTTTTATATATTTGTTAAAAATAGAGTTAAATAATACAAAATGAAATGATGTTATACATTATTTTAGAGATAATATTAACTTAGTTTAGTAATTAATATCCTATAAGTCTTTACTCTGTGTGTGCTAAATTGAAAGTTAACATTTGTTTAATTTTAGTATATGAAATAATTCTAGATAAAAATTCTACAAACATTATCTGTACTTTGTAAGTCATACATGCATGTAAATTACAGAATATAAACAACAACATAAAAAATTAAATAAAATTGTATTAAAAAATTTTAAGAAAACAAAAATAAAATATTGAATTTTAATTCATTGTTTATACAATGTATTATTTATTAATAAGTAAAGTTATTGACATAAACAAGCAGAATTGAATTGAAGTCAAAAGAACACAAGCACTATTATAAACAAGAGGAAGAAACTTATAAAATATGTCAACAGATTTAATTAAATTTGTTAGAATTTTGTATGTATTAAAATTAAACAAAATAATGGACAATAATTTATGTATTGAATAATTTCACATGAAATAATTCAAATTTAGTTGTTAAATATATTGAGAAAGAGTTTGTTTTTATATTTAATGAAGTAAACCCTTCATAAATATCAAATACAAATATTTTAAATCCATTTATTTATAATTATTTTTAATCATTATTAAACTCTATAGTTTAAATAATATTTAAGCTATCATATTACAGATTTGTTTTATTTGAAAGATACTTCCTATTGAAAGTTATAATATATATTTATTAAAGCAGAACATTAATGGTCTTTGAATTTGAGACTTGAAAGTAGATAATTACAGAATTACAGAATCAAAAATATTAAGTATGTCTAGTAAATTATGTATATGCAAGATTCATTCCCTTTTATATTTTAATTCAGTTTTTAATAAAGCTCTAACATCTTTATCAAACTATATTTTTTCCTCTATTTGAATGAAATGCAATTACTTTTCCAGTTTTTAATTTATTTAAATAAATATTTATAAAGTGAAATCATGAAATTCAAAAACATAATGATTTCTGACATTGGATCGATAATTAAATTACATACTTCATAAAATAATAATTCATCTATACTTAGAAAAAGTTTATATAACATTCCTGAATAGCTTGAAATTGAAGAAACTATAACATTAAATAATTTGAAAAAATATAAAGCAGTACAAAATAGCAAGCTATTTTCAACACTATAGTTAAATAAATTAGCTTTAAATAAGTTTATTTAAACTTATAAAACATAATAACAAAAATATAGAATAATTCAATTTGATGAATAATAATATGTAACAAATAGTTAAATATGCATGTAAAGGTGTGATTGGCCCTCCAAAGCCGGAGGCGCTTGAAACAAAAGGAGTGACGTGGAACAATAGAAAATAAGGTCAGAAGCTTCTGAAAAGTCAGAAAGAACGGACCACGTGCAAGACCTCGGATATAGTAGGACAAGACAAAGGAACTTCATATAGTTAACGATATTTCCTTCTCGAACTTACATAAAATATTTACATGCAGATTAATTTAAACATAATCATCTAACTCTGAAGAAGGAGCAGCATAAATTAGAGACAACAACAAACATATACACATTATATATATCTTTTGATTAACACAAATTTTGAGCTATATTTAAATTTTAAATCTGATCTTAATCTCAGATCCAATTCACACTCACTTAATATAAAATATTACTTTAAGCAAATAATTTTTTCTCTAATATTTTATATTCAATATTTGTTCATATTAAATGTTGAATATGAAACATTTAGACAAAACATTAAGGGTAATAAAACACATTGCAGCTATAATTCACTTAAATTTAATAATTATTTTTGGATTATTCAATTATATTTTTAATAAAATTGAAAAAAATTGTTTTACTTTCTGCATCTGTTATTGAATCTAACACATTATTAATACAACCAAACCAAAAACTATTAAACCATATCATAAAAAAAATAAAATAATTGGTAATTCACTAATTTATTAAAAGTAATTTACTAGAGAAGTATCAAATTATTTTACTGATTGGTCAGCAAAATAGTAACTAGTAAGTTATTGTTTATTAATATAGATTATTTTTTACATTACAATAATGTTTTTAATATAACACTATATCATATGGAATCATCTTCAAATGAATATTTACTTAACATGGCAAACAGATATTAAAAATGGAATTTAAGAAGAAAAAAGTGAAAAGTCTACATACACGTGTTATATATATATTATTAATTTTTATAATATATATTTTACTCGGGTATAAGACGATCTCGCATATAGGATGAGATGTGACTTTAGAGATCAAAATAAAGAAAATTAGATTTATTAATACAATTCTAATTTTATTTTGTTTAATCACAAAATATTATCAAATGCACGTACTAAGGCAAACAACCAAGTTTGCCTTAATACGTGATAAATGGAAAACAAAACCAAAACATTATAGTGCGAATGACAGGAAAAAGTTTATTTTAATGATTCAGAATGTGCTAATATTCATTAAAAATAATAATTTAACTAATATAAAATAACTACATTTATAATCATTGCTAAGCAACCTGTATTTCATTAATTTTTTATAAATAACAAGAAACTATTTTCTGCGAATAAATGAGATGCAACGTGATTTTTAATTAATGGATGTGGGATTAAACCAATAAACAAAGAGGTGTGTGTCTTAATTTGTTTACAGTAGGTGCCAACTTACGATAAATAGACTGTAGACCTATGACGACAGCATGAAGTATACACGGTTCACAAAAATTATTGCAAAAAATGCAAAGAATCCTTCGTTTGAACATATAGGATGACCTAAGTTTTTGAAGCAGTGAAAAATGAATATAAACCACGTCTCATATGCGAGTAAATACAGTATATACATATTTAAAAATTAATAATCTGGTTACTTGATATAAATTGTAAAGTTTATTATTCAATCAATAACTTTCAATAATCAATAATCATAATTTTTTATAAGAATAATGATAATTCTTATTTTATGATTAATGCTAGTGTATTTCATTTATATAAATTTTTCAAAAATTTTAATTTTAACAGTTACTATTTAAATTAAGGACGTGATTTAAAATATTTTAAAGTAGTAAAGAAATGCAAAATTATTGTTTATAATTGATTTTTAATATTAAGATAATTTTCTTAAGTTGATTAATTTAGTTTGATTGATCTTTAAACAATTTTATATTTTTGATATAGAATTAATTCAATTAAATTTGTACTTACATATGAAAATCAATAATAGAAGAAACAACTTGGCTGAGAGAATTTTCTAACAGAGATGTCAGATCAGATGAAATAGTTAATGGTGCACAAAGTCTTATATCATTGAATGCTGTTAATATATCATTGCAATAATGAGCAAGTGGCTGAAATTCTAGCAATGACAAAGGAGGTTGGAGATTATCCTGGAAAATTCCAAAATAAAGTATATTTATCTAACTCACATTACACTATGTCAGTTATTATTTTTTATAATAGTGAAATTGAATTATATATTACAAATACAATAAAGCATCAATTATATGAAAAACTGATATCAACTTTAAAGAGTTCTAATTTGAAAAATTATAACATCTTTATGTAGAAATGATTGCCAGCAATCTTCTTTAGGACTGATATCAAATTAACTTGTTATCAACACTAGAGTTAAGTTTTATTTATTACAGTAATAGAAAAACATGATTATTGAATCACAGGTTTCTAAGGCTTTACAGGCAGTGAAGCATTTGATATATTAGAAACAGTGTTGACATGATTAGAAATGCAATTTGAAGCAAATTTCTTAACTTTCATCACAACCAAAGATGCCAAAGATTTAACAGAGTTAAAAAGAAAAAAAAAAACTATGTAAAACAAAGCAAAATAACTGATTTAAAAAAAAACACAAAAAGAATTGTAATAATTAATTTTTAAATGAGTATTGTGTTTTATTAATATTAATTTTACTATTATGTAATTTTTACTTTGAATTCAAAGTTTCATCAGTATGTTGTACATAGCAATAAAAGATTGTATTATGTATTAAGAATAAACATTAATTTGTTTAGTTATTTCTTATCACTCATATATATTGAATTGTCTTAACTATCTGCCTTAACCTTTTTTTACTGTTGTACTAAAATTAAAATTAATATTTTAATTTTATTTAAGGAATTTATCTTATTATTCTTTCCCAATCAGGGTGACTGGTTATCTGAAATTGTCTCATCATAATTATTGACTCTATAGCTAAATCATACTATAAAAATAAACTTCTCAAAATGTGTTATATACATTAAAACTAAAATAGTATTCTTAACTATATATCTGTATTTGTTGCATGAATAAAAGATTATCTTTGACTAAGCAAATAATAAAACAAAAATGAATGTAAACACTCAAAACATTACTCTGATAGCTTTTTGTCCATTGTCTTATTTTGTATGTTTTGTGCTAGCACTTTTCTCAAAGACAGACTTATCATACTGGATTAAAAATAAAACAGAATGACTTTGAAACACATAATTTGCAGAATAATCCTATGTATTTAGTTCATCGTGAAATGAATTATGTGATAAGTTCATCTTTGAGAAAAGTGTGCTAGCACAAAACACACAAAATTCAAAAACATTGTTATTAAAATCATATTGATTTGTTTAAAGTGATTATAAATTATACATTTATGAATAAATAATTTTTGATAACTGAAAATCTAATAAAAATCAAATTCTACTTGAGTAAAATGGAAACTGTATTCTCATCACAATGACACATTACAAAATATGAAAAAACAAGATTTCAAAAAATTATTATATTTTTATAAAATATACAAATTATATCAAAGATTCAATCATGTTGATGCTTGTGAATATTAATAAGGTTGCTTCCAGGATAAATGAAGGATCCATTACAAAATATATTTTGATGAATTCTACAATTAGAGCATTTTTTTCCACCAAGGAAAATTATATATTTATAAATATATTTATTTATTTCATTAGACAAACTCAAAAGAAATTAATGGTTATTAAAATATATTATTGATTAATAAATAATATAAAATCATTAATTACTTCATTAGCCAAGGTTGCACTAAGAGCAGCAGCAGAAGAAAAAGAATATGATGTTAAAGTAAACGTTTGCATTGCTTGTTTAAATCTGAAATAAAAAACAGTAATTTCAAATTATATGTAAATAAACATCATATTAGTAACTATAATTATTTTCATTATACAACTAATTACTCAGCAGAAAAATTATCATTTCTAGTTTCAATATAATTTCAATTTTACATGAATTATTAATTAAATGAAAGAATCATTTTCTGTGATTTTGAATGTATTAAATCTTTAAAGGATGTAGATTATATTTTTAATTTCAATTATTACTAAAGAAATTAATTCAATATCTTACATTTGTGATTATGTAAAAAACTTGAATAAACTGACTTATTAATAAATGATTCTATTATATAAACTAAATATATAAATAACAGCAATAAAAAATTATCTATAAAATCTCAAAGAAAAATGTCTATACAGAATAAATTAACATNCATCTTTTACAAACCAGAAAAATATATATATATATATATATAATAAAAAATATATTTAAAACTTTTCAAAAATAAACATTTAAAAATTTATACAATTTTTCTATTTGGTAAATTTTATATTCTTTTTAAAATGACATGACATCAAAAATGTGAGGAAGCCAATAGTGACTATGTGCAAAATAAGAAAAATATGTACATCTCTTTTGGCTGTAATAAATTATTTTTAGCTTTTATGTTACTTTTCTTCTTTCAAAATGGGGATTCTACTTTAAAAACATGCCTAGTAGGTCATAAAGATAATTACCTATAAAATTATTTTAAGAAAAGTGACAATTTCTGACTATTAGAATTATAATAATTTAATGGGTTGTTAACGGTTTGAGCCTTTCAACTGGAGAAACTCTCACATTCCCTAGATAGTTGGGCATATGAGGAACCAACTGGGGGCTTGACTTAAATGTTCATTCCTCACCCCCATGGGACAATCTGGTAGCAGATAGCCAATTAAACTGGCTATCAAAGCAAATGAGGATGGGCTGCCATTGCGGGGTTAACCAACCATAACGGCTCTCTTTATCAGTTAAAACTTTTAAGCATGGTAAATCAAATCAACAGAAAGTCATACTGGCTGGGACGTTGCCCAGGCCAATAAGGTCCCCGCTGTGTTGGTCAGGGAACAAGGACACACCGTGCTAAATGTGCCACTGGGACACAAATCAGGTTGATACTATCAATGCTAGAAGTCTGAATGAAAAGGAAGTAGAGCTAGTCAAAGAGTTAAAAAGTATACAGTCATACCTCGGACTTACGCGATAGGTGGGACTGAGTGATAACCGCGTAAGTCGAATTTGCGTAAGTCGGGGTATGACTGTAATATACAAATGGCAGTTATCACTAAAACTAAGAAAATTAAAGTTGGAAAGATAATCCTAAACAATAAATATAAGCTAATTTACTCAGGGAATGAGATTCAATGAAAGGAGGGTGTAGCTATACATTTATATCTCCTGTGGAAAATAATCTTATAGAATGGGAAGCACTCTCTAGCAGAGTCATTTGGGCAAAATTTAAAATAGGAAATTGGATAATAAAATTCATCTGTGCCTATGGACCTACTGAAGGCTCAAGGAAGAAAAATGTAGAAGCATTTTATGATGTTCTGGGATCAGAAAAATATTAATGAAAAGATAGTTCTAGCTGGAGATCTTAACAGTATAATAGGAAATGGCTACATCTATGGCAGCAATTTAGGTAAGTTTGGCAAGAAAGAAAAACCCAACAGCAGTGGCAAAAGTTGACTAGAGTTTCGTGCTTATCACTCACTAGTGCTTACTAATAAAATGTTCCAACACAAAGAGAGTCATAAATTTACATGAAGAGAACACACTAGAGGTGAGACAAGAGTGTATATTGTCCCCTTTATTATTTATAATTTTCATGGATAATTTAAGAAAAGAATCAAAACTATTGACAAACTTCAGTTTGGGAAATATAAAGGTTGGTTCTTTATGCAGATGACATTGTTCCATTAAGCAATAAACCTGAAGACCTCCAGCAATCTTTAAATAAATGAGAGGAAAGTTGCAGGAGTTTTGATATGTCAATCAGCTATGAGAAAGCAAAGGTTATGGCTATTGGTATACAGAAAGAGACTAACAGTTAAACTTGGTAACAAATGCTTAGAACATATCAAGAAGTTCTCATACTTAGGAAAAATTTTTAGTGAAGATAAAAAGTTAATTTGTAAATCAGCAATGGATTAAGCAAGGAAGATCAAGCAGGGAGCCAATTGAGCAAATATATCTGGAACAAGAAAGAAATAAGTCATATGACAAAACTAGCTGTGTACAACAATTTTAAAATCTATATTGACATACGGTTATGAGAGTTGAATGAGAAATAAGGGAATTGACCAAAAATTAGAAACAGCAGAAATGAGAGTATTTAGAAAAATTAGTGGTGTTAATAGATGGATACAGTGGCAAAATCATATTAAAAATGAAAACATAAGAAAATACCTCAAGGTAACTAATATTCAGTTGAGAGTAAGTAAGGCTAATCTGAGGAGGTTTGGCCATTTCGAAAAAATGGGAGAAGAATGACTAGCCAAACAGGTATTTGAAGCTAAAATCAGAGGAAAAAAATCAAAGGGATGTCTTAAATGAAGGTGGATTGATAGTGTTAAGCAGGCCTTGTAGAAAAGGAATTTAACTTTTCTCCAGGCTAAAAACTGTTGAAAGGAGAGTTTGGAGAAAAGTAGTGGATGGTAGTATAAAAGTTTGGTTTTCCACCATGTTAACCTGTACACTTTCTGAGTATCAGCAGGAATGTATGCTGATGATGATAAATTTAATTTTAATTATCTGAAATATACTCCAAAAGTTCTAGAAATCAACATCTATAAACTTTCAAAATCTATATCTCAATTTTTAAAATTTTTTCAAAAATTACCTAATCTTATTTAAATTCTATGAAATAAAACTAATAAAAATAAGTATTTATAAACAATTATAAAGATTATAATGTCTTACTATGTGACTAACTATTTCCAACCTAATATGTATTTTATATAACAACAAATGAAGACTATTTTTTTTATAAGTCATGATTACTTTTTAGATAAAAAGTAATCAGAGTTGACTTATTATTATTTTCTATAAGAATTTTGTACTTATATTAGAAAAGTTACTAAACTTATATAACTAAAAAAATTGTTAATTATGACAAAATAACATGTAAAAAATACAATCTTTGATTAACATTTATAAATAAAATGAGTTAAAATAAACTGTTAAAACTTCTTTTAAAATTCTTATTAATAAATTACTTTTAAACCTAATGAAATGTATATGAACATAACTATGCAAAAATAAAAATATTTTTTTTTATCTGATAATATATTGTACTCTGGTCATCAGTAAGCTAAAAAGTTCTAACACTCTCTCTTATTATTACCCATTGTTTAACTATTTTCAATAAAATTTATAATCATGTATACAAGAAACATTTCATTACTCATAATTGTAGTATATTTTCACATAAAAAAAAAATATATATACCATATTTATTTTAGTTAAATTTGAAGAAAATAATGTAAAGGAAAAAAAATTTTGAGAATATAACTGCCATTTTAGAAATAGCAGCTATGACTGATTACATACTATAAAATATGAAAATATACTACTGCAAAAGTAATTTACTGTAGAATTACCTGTAAAATCAAAGAAGGCATTACATATTTGTAATAAAATATCACATCATCTGCAATTCCTAGAGATATGGACACAGTACTATAATCCAAGATATTTACACATCAATATTAAATTATTAAATAAATTTTAAAAAATAATATAAATATAATGAAGAGTTGTACATAAGTATTTCAAATTTTCTTTTATAGATCATTAAAATTGTTAATATATGTACATGTTTTAATTTTCTTTATTGAAAACAAGAATAATCACTTCTCTTTTAAAAATGATTTTATTTCATCTTTATATATTTTATTATAAGCATTTACAACTTATAGATATAATTAGAAGAGAAAATATATTTTAATATTCTAAATCTTTTATAATCTAACTGTTGAAAAGACTCAGTAGTATTAATTTATACAAATCAAAAAACAATTTTTGCTTTAAGAAATGTTTCTAAATAGCTTTATTATTAATACAAACTCACATTTATAATGATTTTCACATAAAAAACCATTTAAATATATTATGAACTATTAATATATACAATTTTTCATTTTGAAAAATTTTATATTTGTAAATTAAAAGAAAAATTTATATATAATTAATACTTGAAATACTTACTGCTTTGCAGCTCTCTCCATAGACTTTTCAAATTGTTTCAAAACAGTATTCTGAAATATTGGAATCAAAAGTGGTCGAAAGTCAGCTCCAACTCTGCTAAATGACAATCCAAAATACATAGCCTGAGAAAGAATGGAATCTAATCTTCCACCCAAATCTTCAGAAATATCATGCTCTAATGTTTTTAAAAATTCTGAAATCTGTTAATTTAAATGAAAATTACTTAGTTATTTTAATAGCATTGACAAACTTATTCTTAAATATATCAAACTTTAAGCTGATTTTTAATCAGCCTTTAAGTTCAGAAGTTAATATATTTTTAACTGAAATTCTTAAAAATCATTTTATCATCATCTTTGAAACTATTGTAATAAATAATTGTAGTAATCTTGAATGAGTTTTAATACTTTTATCATATTTTGTTTACTCAATGATACATTAATCTGTCTTTACATTATTTAACAGTGTAAAAGTTATAAAACAAAATAAATATTTAATAAAGCTATTATGGACACACACCAATACATAGTAATAGTAGTAATAATATAAAATTAAAGTTAAACTGCAGTTGAATTTAAATTGTCCTTATTCTATTTTTGTTTACAGTATTTAATGACGATGTGTTAATTACCAAAAATCATCCTAAATATGTTTGCAGTGTACAATTTTAAGCTAATCTGTGATTATTTTAACTCTTCAAGACAGAAAATTTACAAAATTCTCAAAAAGACAATTCTTTAAAAAAATGTCTTCTCACTTTGTCCCTTTCACACATCATCATGAAATAACAGTCTCACAGTGGAGTTAACTTTCCTTACAGGTTTCTATCTGCCTCAATATATGTAAAATGTTAAAATCTTCCCATTTATGACAACACTATCAATTAAAAAAATATATATATATAACAACAAATGTTATATAAAAAAATAGTGGTGTGTGTGTGTGTGTATATATATATATATATATATATAATGTATGTATATAATCCAGTTTATTTTATAAACCTGAAGCAGGTTTTTAAAATGTTCTTTAAAATAAACTAAAAACATTTGTTATACAAATTCTGCTTGCTGGAGATTTATATAAGGTATGGATTTTATTATTAGAGAGCATTTCCAGATGTAATCTTGAAATATAAAATATATATGGTTTTGTTGGCATATTACTGTATTGATTTTTTCAGTCACTGACTCAAAAGTACCAAAAGTTATAAATATAGTTCAAAATAAATTTATTTGTAAGATGTTTTCATTGGAATATAATATACCTGGAAGAGCTCTCAGATTAGAGTTGAGCAGATTTAAATTGTGCCCATTTTATATAAAGAAAATAATAATTTTTTTTAAAAAGATAAGCGATAGTGAGTCGTTACCATCAAAGCTATTGAAAATATTATATCAAAAAATGCAAATTAGTTCTCATGGAAATAATTGGATTAGTCAAGCATCTACTGTTTTAAATAAATATGGCTTTTCTATAGGGCCATTTATAGAAAGGAATGAGATGAGTGAACTACTTAGTTCCAATTGATCCTTAATGTTTTTGAGATATCCTTGACATAAGATATAGATGAACTTAATAAAGAAAAAAAATCAAGAATGGTACAAAATTATTTTAAATTATCCACAAATTAAGTTATTTATTTCTGAATCTGCCATTTAATATTAAGAAATTTTTTATACAATTGAGATTAAATAGGAGCTAGTTATAATTAATAAGTCTATATATGATCTATCTAATGATAAATGTTACAGATGTAAAAATGAGTGTTCGAAAACACATATTTTTTGTTGATATAAAGAAGCTCATGAACTTTGTTACAAATATAACCTCCAAGAATTAGAAAACATTAAAGATGAAAACTGTATGTAAACTTTTTTCCACAGATCAGAGATTAAACTATATATAATTTGTATAATTACTTTCAAAGATTTATTGTTTTAGATTAAGGTATTCTAAGATTACAAAAATCTAATTGAAAATAATGGAGATGATGGTTTTAGTTTATAATAAAATAAAAATTGTTAGCTAATTTAATTAATCTAATTAATTTATATAATGTTATTTATGGGTTAATTTGCTTTAAAAATTAAAAGTATTGTAATGATACGGCAGCTATATAAAGACTGTATACTCCTGATGTAACGGAATAATCCTAATACAATAAAGTTTCTTGATAATGATATAATAACACAAAGACATTCTTTACTAATTAGAAATAAATTTTATTCTTATATTTATAAAACAAAGAAAAAATGTGGAAAATTTGTAATAACTGCAAATAAAAAAAACTGTAAAAAAACAAGAAATTTTAATTTCATTTAATTATTTGGCCATTTCAGTTTTTACCCACCACTCGTATTATAAATATATGCCCGTATTTATTTATCAGATGGCATAAGTATATCAATATTTTAAAAAATGTGATATTCCCACTTTTTTCCTTTAACCTTCAATATGATAGTTGCCATTTCTCATAATAAAAATGAGTTTATATTTAAGTGTATCACATTTATCAATGTGATATACTGAGACTGTTCTATGTTTTGGATTTATTTAGGTATTTTATAAGATTATGTTAATAAAATTCAAATACCCTAAATTTATAATTCCAATACTTCTACAATGGCCAAGATATCAAGACAGTTACTATTTTTAATTTTTAATTTAATTTAAATGTTTCAGCATTACGCTGATCAGAGGAAATGAGAAAATCTTGAATTTTTAAACCATATCTAGAGTACAATGTTAGACTAAGAAAGCTATCTAAAATTTTCAAATTTGCATTATGATTTTAATTCAAAAATTAGTGGACATCAATATTATATCAACAATTTTTTTTATATGGAAAAGTTTCTTTACATATGTCTTTTTACAATCAAATTACATTCTCAAAACTTGGAAAATTAAAACAATGAAGTCAATAATATTGCAAAATATAGTATAAAAAGAATGATCATCATCAGATTATCAAGCAGTTAGTTTGGATATTTGACCATTTTTACTTTAATTATTAGTTTTAATTTATAAAATGATATATATTTATATACACCAGACTCTTATTATTTTGGTATTAATAAATTATTTTAGTTTATTTTATTAAAGTATTTTGTACATTTATTTACTCTGTAAACTTTAACTATGACAAAAATATGTTTAAAATGTTATATTTTAAAAATATATGTGCTTTTCTTACTAAAAAGACTTTTTAATTAAAGTAGAAAAAAGATTTAATAAATCCAACTATTAATCAAAATATACCTTGAGAGAAATCCAACTGTGAAATATTGAACTTTCATTTTTAGCATCTTTTCCAGGTATTAAAAAAGGATCATCATCAGAAAATATTGCACGATACTGTGTAACAATATCAAATAAATGAACTCGACTGGCTTCTATAGTTTTTGTAATATGGAGATAAGCTAAAATAAGAAAATAAAAAAATTAAACACTAAAATGATTATATATGAATATTTATGATATTGATTTTAAAAATATTAGCTAATTAATCTTTAGGTTAAAATGTACTTTATGAGAAATCAGTATAGCAGAATTTATTACAGCATGAATTTTGTTAAATTCTTAAAAATAATCTTTAAATATTGTTGTTTAATATCTATTTAGAAATACCTAATCACTTAAATTGTAAAGAAAAGAGATTTGTTGCACAGTATTCAACAGCAGATAATGAGTTAGGAGAGGAACAGAAAGTACACATACCCTTACCCATTTCTAGTACCAACAGAAAATAAATACATAACTTAAAATTTTAGTCATATTTAAATCTTAACATGATTGGAAATATTCCAGATATTTTAAAAAAACATGCAACACTTTCTTCATTCTTGTATTTAAAAATATAAAGGTTTAGTAACTAAACAAATGTTTAAATTAATATTCAAATGCTTTTTTTTCAATAAAAATTAAATATACTATTATTAATTTTTATATCATTGACTAATATATAATTTTAATGTACTGTGCTCAAATTCTATGATAATGTGTACACATATATATTTTGAGATCATCTCCAGCAGTGGCTTGACAATGATGATATATATATAATCATTATTATCAATCATTGTCATTATATATATATATATTTATATATTTTTAGGATCAAAAATTGAAAATGCTCAATGAGTAAAAAACAACCAGAATGTATTGTGAATTTACAGAAACAGTTATAAGAAATTTCTTGTCCTGGCTGCTTATAAAGAGCCATGATGTTTTTCTAAATTCCATTCTGAAATTTAAAAAAATGCCATAATGCAGAAATTTGCGTTGGGACTATTAAAAGATATAACCAAGTATTCCAGATATTATCAACATGTCACAATGCAACATTGCAGAACCAATATGAGACATTTTTATCAAATATGCATATAACAATCTGCTATCTTAACCTCATTGGGGAAGAAGAGCAGAGCCAGCTCAGAATCAACACAATTCGGTTATTTGTCAATTTTAATCTGACATTACATTAGTGAATACATCTGAGCTCAATTAATTGGACAACGAAAGGTCTATTTGAATGATCTTATGTACTGTACAGTACATAATGTTTTCAACTGCTAACAACAACTTCATTGATGTACAGAATATGTCCTCAATTTCACTATCTCTTCAATCAGTCTCAAATATAACATCTGAAAGTAAGCAGGACTTTGCAAACTTCAATTATAACAAGTACTGCATCAATAAAAAGTACAAATGTTGTCTGAAAGATATCAACTGTAACTTTAAAGTGTCATTCTACCAGTTCCTGCAAAAATATTGGGCTTGGCCATCGTTCTTAATTGTAATACATATTTAGTTTTATATCGTGATCACTTTATTTGCAAGTACAGAATAAACAGGAAATGACCATGATGTATTGAGATATGCTGATAATACTGGAATGCATTGTGGTCATTTTCTTTAACAGTCTTAACACAAATTAGCATTATGGTGTTCTTTAAAATGCCAGAATGAGTTGTAGATTTTTATAGGTAGCCAGAATATGTAATTACTTATGGCTGATTCTGCAAAGCCACAATGAATTCTGATTCTTTTTTTGCTTGTTGAGTGCATTTGACCTTTGAGCCTAACATATATATGCTATGCAGAGTGCCCCAAATAAAGTGTTACAGCTCAATATCCTGTTACTCAATTAACGATTAAAATAATTTTTATCACTGTTTAAGTTACGAAAGGTACTATTAAATCATCAAAATAACTCAAATGTGACCCCCTATGGAGTGAAGTGGAGTCAACTCTAAAATTTCAAACAGAATGCTGTCAAAATGTTAACATAGCTAGATTCTATGCTAAAAAGAACAACTTTTAATCTTTTTTCTTCAATCACATTTAAAGAAAAACAGTTATGTAAAGTAGAAGTAACAGTTAACAAATTATAAGCAATAACCCTAAATAACTGGATGAGATATCTTCATACAAACAGTAGAAAATCCAGCAAAAATGTAATGTTTATGAAGATAAACAAACTTCAAAAATTTTAAATTGCCATCTTCAGGTTAAAAAAATATAAAAACAAAAAATAGAACTACAGTCTTTTAAAAAGAACATGTCTGATTTCTAAGGTGTGAATTTGTTTTCTGACATTACCTCCAGTTTCTGTATTTTGTTACACTAAAACAAATGGCTATTACTTACAAAAACAAAGATAGTATGATTCAAAAATGTCTCTCTCTTGGATAAAATCTTAGAAACATATATGGAAAATATAAAATTAAATTTATAAATATTCATTTATTCATATCAAAATTTATTATTAATTTTCAAAATAATAATAAACAACCCATTAAAATTAAACTAATTACTAAAAAAATAAATTTAAGTGATATGTTGATTTATAAATAATTCTAAGTTCTTGTTATGAAATATCCAATATAAAATGATATTTTTCTTTCTATTGTTAAAAATGATATTTGTTTGCAAAATTTTTTTTCTTTGTAAATACTAAAAGACTAAATTATTCTGTTTTAAAGATTAAAAAGCATTATATTAAAATAGATGAAAAAATAATTCTTTACAAACAATATATACTTACGATCAGTTTTAGGTAAAGAGTGTAAAACATTTTGAAACCAAGAATCTCTTGTCTGCAAATAAATTTAGCATATAAATATGTTTAAACATTAAAATTCTAAAAATTTCTAAAATATTTAATGAAATGTTATTGTAAATTTTAAAATAATTTAGTAGTTTTCTGACTGATATTGGATAACAATATAAAGTATATTTACATGTCCAATAGTTAGTTATTGATTTATTCAATTATATTCCATATATTCTAATTTCCATAAAATTAGCCAGCCACAAAATAAAGTACCTGGATAAAGTATTTATTGTACCTCTAGCCCTGTCTTGAACAGCTGTCATACTGTATACACTACACAAAAGTCTAGAAACATTAGGCCTTAATAACAGCATGCACATTAAATTATATAAAGCAGCCATACTAAATATATGTCACATAACTAAGAAATTCTATATTCATACTGATATACAGAATGATCATAAATTATTGAGTGAATTTCAATGATGAAAAGTAAATGAACCAAAGAATTTATCCAACTGTATTATATCAAATTGTACAGCAGATCAAATTGTTTGACATATGCACAAAATTTTTTTATTAATTTATTTTATTATTATTATTATGTTGGGTTTTGTGACATCAGTTGACACCAGTGGCAGTGTACTGTGCTGGGCCAGAGTCAAGGTATAGTAACCAAAACAAAACTAAAATTAAAAAACTGTCAGTCTGTGTGTCTGTATTCAGGAATTTCCTAACAATATGACATGTATTCAATGTAGCGGCCTTCTGTAGTGTGATGTATGTGTTTCTATTCAATTGTAATGTGCCCAGGCTTTTGTGTAGTGTGTGTGGTATGACACCTGTACAGGAGAGAACAACGATTACAATAAGCACCTTATCCATCCTCCACAGATTCCTTATTTCTGTGTACTTGCTGATTTTTTCAGTGCATGTGTTTTGTACATTGTGAGTGTTTGGAATGAATATGTCTATAATGTATGTGATTTTATTGTTTGTCAATGAATGTGATGTCTGGTCTGTTGAGGTAAATTGTTTTATCTGTGATTATGGCTTTGTCGTAGTACATTTTGTGCTTGTTGTTTTCCAATACTGTCTGTGGATGTATTTGTAGTATGGTTCATGGATGTCTAATATTAACTTGTGTTTCTTTGCAAGCTCTTGGTATATTATATTTGCTATTTGATTATGCCTATGTAAATAATCCATCTGTGCCAAGAGCTTGCAACCAGAAGTGATGTGTTGTATAGTTTCTGGCATGATTTATTATTATTATTATTATTAGTAATTTTTTTATTTGTGGCATGTACAATATCCTGTTGATATTCAGTTTCTTGTGTTTTAACAATCACTAAACTAATATATATATATATATATATATAATTCAAAAATAAAGTAAAGAAGGAAAACTATATTTTAGTATTATAAAAATCAATAATTATGCACCTGAAGAAATTTAATTCTTAATTCTCTCTCTGAAAATACATCCATTCTTCTCAAATATCCAATAACTTTTAAGCAAGTGGGAAGTTGTATATTTGACCTTAGTTGTTGTAAAAGCTGAGTTAACATAAGTTGCATTGAATCCTGAATATCTTTAACAATACTCTATAAAAAAAGTAAATATTCAAAAACAAATCTCAAAATAAATAGAATTATTTTGATGATTTAAAGTTTTTTAATTTAAAAAGAGTTATTATTATTAATTATAAATATTCAACAAATAAGCAATTAATATAAAATAATAATAAAACAATAACAGAAATGAAATATGTATAATAATATTTATAATGCAATTATAAAAAATAATAATTAAACATTATTAAGTATTAACTATAACACTTGCAAGTAATAGTGCATTATTTCATTTTTTTTTTTCAAATACCAATTTTCTGGACGTTCAATATTATGTATGGATATACACATCTTGTGTATTATATGATAATAAACAGCTATAAAATATGCATAATTTGCAATATAATAAAATTTGTAATAATGCTTATCATCAGTTTTTCTTTAAAACAACATTTAAGCCAGGCAATATTTTGTTAGAATTTCCTCGATCCAACATCAAATTTGATTTTGAAATAGAACAAACTATTCTTGAATTAGGACTCAAATTTTAAGTTTTTAAACAAGTTTTTTTTATCAAAGATGGCTCAAACTTTTTAAAGTTCTTTATCGATAAATAACATAGGTTAAAATAAAAGATTTTTAAAATAATATAAAACAAAATAAAATTTAGTAATCAGACTCTTTATAAATAGTAATTGCATAAGATCCAAATCCATGGTTCTAATTCAGATCTTTTGCATATTTTGCTGATCATAGAAACAGTATAAGTAGCAATACATATTTCTTTGACAATTTTAATTTGAAGCAGTCTAAATGACAGTAAAGCATTATCCCATTTCATTTCTACACTTCAGAAAAATTTCTTCTGCTACAGCAGTTGTAATTGTTTTTTGTTTTACCCTTTTTGTGTTATTTAATTCTATTTAGCAACCTATACACACAGTACTTTTAATAAAAAAACAAATATGTTCTACATAAAATAAATAAATTTTTTAAATTCCTTCATTCTTTCTGGTTGATAATTTCCATTTTTGTTTAAATAAACAAATAAATAAACTGAAGGAGTTTGTCAATAATGCCATTTACAGCCATTTGAAAAAATTGTAGAAAACAAAAAAATTTATCTAGTATTTAAAAAAATTATCTAGTACTTCATTGAATTCTATATGACTAAAGAATACATTCATTGTCTTTGAAAAGAACAACTATCTGGCCACTTGGTCAATATAATGCAAAACTAAAAAAAATATGGAATTTAATTTAATTTGGAATCTAATACAAACTAAATGAAAAGGAAAGGATTTATCATTAATAGAAACATGTTTGAGTCACTCACAATAGAAACAAAACTTGTTTAAGCTAAGATGGAGAGAGAGAGCAGTCAGGATTGGAATTCTGCAAACATCAAACTTTGATCTTTTTACAAAACAGGAAAGATCAAAATGATGAAATACTGTGATCTTAACATCATCTTTCTGTGTAATGATCATCCCCACCATCATTTTACTTGTTCCTATATTTTTTGTATTATTTCACTGATCTCCTAATGTGACAATTTTTAAATTTGCTTTAAAAACTCTCTCTTTATGATTTTAATTGGTTTTTATTTATTTTTGTTTTTTATAATTATCACTAAAAAACTTAAAAACAGTTTGAAGCATCTGACTTATCCAAAAAATCATTTTAAAATATTTTTCAATTTTTCAATAACTAAGCCTTCAGGTTCTGTTTCAAGAAGATTTCGGTAACATTTATATGTTGCCAAAATCTTCTTAATCTTATAAATTTTTCTCATAATGCAATAAATCAAACGCATATTTATTGTTTGTTATAAATATTAAATGAGCCGTTTATTTTGAAAATGGGGCAAGTCCAATTTTTGTTATTGCGAGATATTTAAAGGTTTGCATTTCAATATATTTAAAAATATTGGTAAGTATTAATAGATATATTTTTAATATTTTGTGGTACCAGATAATGTAAGTTTATAATTCAATAGTGTTTACAGTGCTGACTAAAAAAAGTAAGAGTTTCATTATAACTAAATGGACTTGCCTCACTTTCAAAATTAATGAATTATTGTAATCGTTCATTTAATTGGGAATTTTTTCAGTTGCATCAGCCTTTTTTTAATAATAAAAACAAAATACTATTCAAATTTTTATAAATATTTATTCATTTGATAAAAAGTGAAACAAAACAAAGAATATTCTAGTAGAAAATATAACATAAAAAAAAAAAATTCAGTTTTATTAAGAATTTCAATGAAATTATACATTTTCAGTTTATACGTAGGTATAATTAAATGAATTTTATTCAGGATTTAACATTTTAAAATATTCATGATGAACGGGAGGTATATATGGTAATAAATCCATCATGTCCTTGTATTTTTCAGATGTAATAGATCTCCTTTTTTCATACAGAAAAGATAACTTTATATTTCCGAAATTACTTGGTCTTCCTCGTTGTGGTGACAAATCGATAATTTTAAATTCAGCATCTCGTTCTATCGAAGTTTTGTAGAACATTTTGTATGGTGCATCCCTTGTAAATCTGATCCAGCATATATTTAACCAATTCACGGTTTCTCCATCGGTATTTTTGTTTCTTTTTAAAACTGCTTTCCCCAGAGGTTGGGTTGAAAAAAATTTTCGCGTTTCATTTCATGTACTAAAAATTTATTATGTTTTCGACAATTTCGTATTAGTTTATAGTAATCCTGGGGAATATACAAGGAACTGGTTTTCCGGATTGCCATTTCTACCACTCCAAAATCACGATCGTTCGGTAAAAATGAATGTCCTGAAAATAAAAATTTGTGATCAATGATATTTATTTCATTGTCACCAGACTGAACAATTTTCATCCACATTAAGGCCAACTTTATGTTTCTATTTTGGCCAGTGCACATGTCACTATAAGCTATAATGTGTTTTTGGGTTGTCACAGTCTGTAAGTGCTTCAAACAGCAAGATGCTACTTCTTGTGCTCTTCGGGATGTTAGTTTCATCCCAAACATACATACTAACTTCATTATGAAAATTGTGGAAGCCTTGATTCAATACATACATATTCCGCTTATATTTCTCGGTGTTGGAAGTAAACATATTATTATCGAAACACAAAATTAAGATATACTTTTTGTTATTTATGAAATATTGTACAACCACCGATTTTCAATATCAAAGATAGATAGATAGAAACACCCTAGATTTCAGACATGATGTCAAACGGCCACATTGCTTCACCATACAGCAACTGGAGCTAAATTTTGCCGTAATATATGTGGTCAGAAATAACTTCAATTTAAGATGCACCACTTTCAAAATAAACATATTTTCAATACTGTTAAGAGCTAAAACTTCCATCTCTCAAATATTAGAATCTGAATTTTTTTTTACTATAAATTGTTTACACATAAAAAGATCATAACAAGTTTTATCTATAACTACCATTATCTCAATTTTTTTCAACAATGGACTTGCCCCACTTTCAAAATAAACAGCTCAAATAAACAATTAAAAAGAATATGTATAAATAACTAAATGCTTGCTGGAAATATTAAATAAAAACAAACAAACACCTTTCTCTATTCCAGCATGCATTAAAAGTGTGCTGGAATAGAGAAAGGTGTTTGTTTATTTTTATTTAAAAAGAATGCTATTGATGATGTTGCTTTTCATGTCGTAATTTTTGTAATATCTTGACTAAAAATTATAGAAAATCAATTGGAAGACATTTTAACACAAAACTGTATGTATGCAACAGATATTTTAATAAAAATAATTAATCATTTTTAAAACTACTTAAATCATCCAAAATATATAAGCTTTTCAGCAGAAGTAAATCTGTTAAAACAGGATTGAATAATTCATTTAAATTAAAAAATGTATATGATAGCTGGAATACACTGTAAAAATAAAAGGCAGTAGAGGGTCTAAAAAGTTATCAGGGAAGAATAAGTAAGACCATGAAAATTATGACTAGACAATATAGAAGAAAACCTCAAAATAACTTAGTGTAAATAACTAGAAGATAGATCCTAGACAAAAAGAAGAACTCTTTATTCACTTAAAAACTTTAAAATATTATAGTATAAACTGCAGCTAATTTGCTCATCTATTCAAATAATATATAAAATCAATAATAATACAATAATTCTATGTTAAAAGTATTAATAGCATATAAATTATCTTAATATCATATATACTTACAGCTATCAAAGGAATTGAAGAATGTTTTTTCTCAAAACGTCTAACATACGTGGCAAGTTCTAATGCTTCTTCATAATAACCATTACGAACACAAGTATCCATTAATTGTGGCATTTCTAACACTTCTAATAACTGAGGATGTTTTGAGAGTGTTAAAGATATTTGATGCCATCTGTTTATGAAAAAATAATTTATGTATCAATGCATTTAAATTAAATTTTATAGAAATTAATATTAATATAAGATGACAACCTAAGCATCTACTTTTAGACCAAATTACTTTATCTTTATAATTAATAGTTAGCCAAAATATAGCCTGAAATAGTGATTTAATTATATACATGAAAATATATATGTGTGAATATGATATACTAGCTGTTACCCGCAACTTCGCCCGTGGAGGTTTTGCAAGCAAACCCCATTTATATTCAGTATTTCAACAACCATAGTAATTGTTATATAACACCGAGAATGATGAGAATTGCTGAGAATCAAACGAACTATTTTCAGTTTGATCAATTTTCTGGAACATTTACAATCGTTCTATAATCGAACCAATATGCAATAACAAATTCGAATTTAAAACAGTTTGAATGTTTTTAAAATCGAAATAGATAAAAATATTTATAACAATGTCTGAAATGTTATTAATTTAATACACTTAAGTACTTAATGAAAATTAAATGTAACAAAAAATCGCATGTAAAATAGTACAGTAGAAGCCGTTCTTCTGGTTAAGACTTAATGCTCTCCTCACCCCCCGTGGGGGAATTTCTAAAAATCCCTTCTTAGTGTGCATTCTCATGGCATACCCTACTACAACACAGATAAAAACAAAAAATCGCATCTAAAATAGTACAGTAGTAGCCGTATTTCCAGTTAAGTCTTAATGCTCTCCCTCATTCCCCACGGGGGAATTTCGAAAAATCCCTTCTTAGTGTGCGTTTCCATGACGTACCCTAACTGTCTACCAAATTTCACCTCTTTAGGTTAAGCGGTTTGCTCTGGGCGATGATGAATCAGTGAATGAATGAGTGAGTCAGTCAGGACAAGCAATTTTATATATTTAGATGANCTATATTGAATACATGCCATATTGTTAGGAAATTCCTTAATACAGACACTGACACACACATTTAATTTTAGTTTTGTTTTGGTTGCTATGCCTTGACTCTGGTCCGGCATAGTACACAGCCACCGGTTTAAACCGAGTATTACCTACTAAACCCAACATAATAATATTAAACTTTTAAACTGTAGAAAATTTTACTTTGGAAAAAATAAACTAAAGTTAATCTTGTCATACTTTTGTTAAAAAATAAATTTATCTTTAGAATCTTAATGATGAATTTAAAGAATAATACAGTCAAATCATTTTATGGTGATATTTAGCAGAACAAGTAAAAATATTGTAGAGAGATGTATTATTATAGTGAGGGTTTTTCAAAAAAGTCCCCTTCCTCATTTAACGCTGTTGGACTACAAACATTTATTTTTTACAAAGTTAGACAAATGTTAGAACAGAAAAATGTAAGGTATTATAAATCTCCTCTAGCACAACATTTAAATAATTTTATTGCACATTATTTCTACAATAGTAGTACAATATGTTAAACATCAAAATCCAAAATCAGTCAGAACCTGAATCCTCCTAGGAAAAAATGAGCCAAGAAAAAATAAAACTAAAAAAAGTAAAATTAAACCAATTCAAAAATAAATTTCTTAAGAATGCTTTTTGTAATTATTTTAATAGATGCAATTTGCAAAATAAGACATCCCTATGCACTTTCTAAGAGAACTAATAAAAATGATAATTAATTTTAAGCATAAACAAAAAATTTAGGTGCTAAAATACTAAAAACATGCCAAATTTGGCAACTTGCTCTTGTCTGTACTGATATCTACTGACTGCTGGTAACATTCATGCAGAATCACTCTATTTATATTAAGAGAGTACTATGTTTTGAATCCAGAAATGAGTTATAAATTAAAATTAAATTTTAATTATCATTGTAGAGAAAGAATACATGTATTTTATTAATACAGTAAAAACAAAATGTACCTCTAAACAGAGATTTATCATAATAGAGGATAATTGGGAGAAGTTTTATGTTAAGCTAATACAAATTTTTAGGAAACTATATTTCTTATTGTTACGCTGGGATTTATCATTATATTGATCTTTTAATGATGTGAAACCATGCTTTAAACTTTGTTACTGCTTCGAACACAAAAAAATGCAATATTTAGTTCATCAACTAAATATTGCACTTTGAAAAAACTGCTAAGTGTCTTAATTTATTGCACCTTATTGTGTTCAAAGCAGCAATTATATTAATCATCACTATACCATTAAAGAAGAATAGACAGAATGATGACAGTGGGAATTTATAGGTATACAATTTTTTTCAAATTGCAGCCCAATCAAATTACTTATCTTTCTTTTCTTACTTATTTACTTATCTTCATTTTAAAATTAATTCTGTGAATGATTATTATATCTAGAAAAAATTAAATAATTTAAAAATCTGTTTATATTTAATTTCACTGCTTACTTGCAATCCTTTCAATTTATATACTGAATTTTGTACTCTTATCATTAGTAATGTTGTACACTAGATTAATCTAATATCTGAATGGAAAATGACAAAGTTTAATCAAAATCAATTGATCAAATTTTGAGAATGAACAAAATTCTATAAGCCACATAGATTTTATAAAGTTAATATGAATTTATTGATGCATATTTTATTGATGCTCTTCCTCGATAAATTCATATTAGCTTTTTATTATTCAGATAAATTTTGCTTGTTTCTTCTCTGCGTTCACTTATATTGTAAACTATTCTTGACATTATTTTATAAAATATTTATATGAATAATGATTAAACAATATATTCAAAATGTGGTCAATCATGTTTCATTACAAAAATATACTGATAAGAAATTGATTTTAACAATTATACTTGCAATATGCTTGTAATCACATTATTTTTAAATGGAATTTATATTACAGGTGTTAATTGGATCAAATTCAAGATATCTTATAAGATGTAAGAATATGTTACAATTAATTCTACTTTACTTTATATATATATGTTACCGGCAAAGTATGAAAAGCCGGCATTCTATAGAATACCTAGGCATTGTATATAATGCCTGGCGTTTTTAGGCAATCTATGNACAATCATTATTAATATATTGACACCATAACTTGGTGCCAATATATTAAATACCTCTTATTGCAAAATGGGATTAAAAGTATTGCTTGAACATTATTAATATTTTAATATTAATTTTACCATAGTTTAGTTTATAAATTCCCTCTATTAATTTAATGTTTTAGATGTGGTGCACTAATTTTTAAATTTTAAAATGCATTCAAGAAATTGAGTATTTAAGATAGTTAAAATGAAGTTCTTTGTGTGTTTCAATTTGAAAATATAGGACCCGAAAAAGACCCAAGTAGTGATCAAAAATGTTAGTCCATATTTCATTAATAAAGTATGCACTGGAGTTTATTTTATGGTCCCAGTTGATGCCTGATCAATGTGCTGGTAGTATGGAGTTTTCCAGGTTTTGTTCATGTTTAGAATACTTAAATAGGGGCCATTTTCATGTAGACAGTTGTCCCTCCTTGAAAAATTGCCCATGTGTTGTATAGCCTTCTATCAATCCAATCCTTTCAATATAGAGTGATTTTCATATGCTATTTGGTTTTAAAAACCACAAGTATTTCGATGTTTAATTGAAAAAATCAAATCTATACTAATATATAAAGTAAGAATGTTTGTTTGATAGAGGTAACCTCAGAATCTATAAAACAAAATTTTAAAGTTCTTTCACTATTGGAAAACTTATTCTTCCCAAATGAGCGTAGACTATATACTATTTTTATATTAAAAAATAAAAATGCAGATGAATGATGTTTTTACTGCCACATTTACCTCACATTGTTGTTTGTCTAATCCAGTGTTTTTCAACCTGTGGGTAGCGACCCCCCCCCTGGGGTCGCTAAGTCTTACACGGGGGGGTCGCGGGTGAAAGAAAAAGACAAGTGTTTGTAGGTCCTACACTACAATAAAAAAGACTAGAATTTCAGTGAGAAGGCTGTGCCTGTTTATTTTACAGTACAATTGGTTTTTCGATCGATATTTAAGGAAAGAAAATTAAATACGTAGTTTTTAAAATCACTGATATAGTTTTAATATGGCCCTGGGGGGTCGCCAGAATTTTTTAACTTGTAAAGGTGTCACATATTCAAGAAGGTTGAAAAACACTGGTCTAATCCATTCAATATTGATCCCCTTCACCAGTTGGTAGGGTCTTTAAACTTATCATCTTATATTTTCAGTTTTGATTCATGTAGTTTGGGTAGTTGTGTATATGCTTTATTTATATCATATTGGTTGTTTGTTTCTTATAATACTTTTATGTTATGAGATACAACTTATTACTTTCTGATGTACAGTACAGTATGTAGCTACCTTAAAACTCAGATCCTCACTTCTTCCTGCTGATTTCATCTTCCCTATAAGCTCCCAAACCCTTACTCTCTGGTACCCTAAGGGAAAGATGGTCTACCATAATACTAAGATCCCTCATTCCTCTCTGATTTAATCCCCTAACACCAAATTCCCAAACATTTTGAGCAATCTGGTCAAATTTTACATAGTTAGTCTCTACAATCCTTCAAAAAATATATGCTACTTTAAAATTCAGACTCTTGCACCTTTCTCTTGATATCATTCCTCACAAATTGCCAAAGTCTTTGAATGATTTGCATCAAATTTTGCACAGATACTCTCTGCCACTCTGCAGCAGACATAATGAGAACAACTCAACCTTCTCAGAGTTCTGGGGAATGCTGGGCATTCTTTGCTAGTGAAAAGTAAAATGTGTAAATAATATAAATTTATTAAAGTTTGTCAGCAAAACATAATAAATTAGTTAACTAAAATTGAAATATGTTTAAACACACCCTATTATATTAATTTATATAATAGAAAATTCAATTTTGATGCAAGTCTTTTTCTTATTTAAATGAAACGTACAAATTAATTTAAATCAAATTATGAATTTTTTTATATAACATAGAAATGATGTAGATAATTATATATAATTGATTTTATACAAATATGTTTGTTTTTTGTAAAAAGTGAATAAAGTGTTA